GACTTAATGCGAACCACACTGTACCGAAAGCGTGGATTGTCGACACGGCACAATCAGTCACCAAAGTGCCCGAAGGCAAAGGACAACGCCTAATAATGCAAGGACGGCAAACAGTTCCGTACCCAAGTGTTTTTTGGCTTCTAAACCAACAGAATATCATAAGAAGATGAATTTTGAAAAGTTCAAAGAGTGATTTTTAACATTACTGGAAAATCTTTACGAACCACATATGATTCCTTACAAAAGCACAAAGGAGCTGTTGGACATCCAGCAGTAGAAACTGGAGCTTATATCTTGGCTGCAGGGCAACGGCATTGAAACCAATGAAAATATGTTGAAAGACGAATTGGTCCGATTAGTGAAAGAAAACTAAACCAGAAAGATACCTACATTTTGGATGAAATCGCTGAACAACATGGCTATACGGTGCTTAGTTTGCCACCATATCATAGTCATAACAATGCCATCGAACGGATTCGGGCTCATGTCAAAGGTTTGTTTTTTTGTCATTATACCTAGTACCTACGTTTACCACATATATAGATACTTAATTTTTTATAGGTCATTCAGCCAAACACATCTCTACAATTTACGGCTAAGAAAATGCCGGCTTTATTGCAAAATACCTGTGATAATGTTACTGCGGATTACTAGAGAAAAAGATGTGGAACACAAAAAAATATATATACTAGAAGACTGGGAACGAGATGTCCACTTTGACAGCGTTTGTGAAAAAGAATTAATAATCAACGTAAGGGACAGTTCTAGTAGTGAGCTTAGTGATGATGATGATGATGACGATGATGATATATGATAATGAACTTGATTTAGGTTGTGCACTAATATTTTAATAATAAATTACTTAAAACTATAATCCCTTGTTTTATTTCATTATAAGCCCTTTCACAAAAGTTATTTCAACTCGTATGTATTCTACTAAATAGTCTGGCTGGCCGAATAAAAATATGCACGAGGCGAAATCGTTATCGTGGGAAGAATTTTATTATCGTGTTAATAATTTAAAATTAATTCAATACATAAGAATTTTGTTCAAAATTCCAAATCCATACAGCATAAATATGCAACTATCGATTGCAAGTTCTGTGAGAATAATAATCGAATTCATTAATGATTATACACCACCCCATCCTCACAGTGAGATGTCAAAATTATCAAGCTAAAAGAGGACAATTTATTGTTGTGTGGAGAATGGGCCCACCGCAAATTTTTGCGAACCGCAATAAAATGCATATCCATTTATTCCTTATAATCTATAGATTACAATGGTAATATTAGTGTTACCGCATCGAAACGGAAAACTGAGAAATCCTATATCTTTAAACGAGCAATTCTTCAAACAAATCGATCTAGCTAGGAGTCATTATTAGAAAATGTCGTTTTGTCCGTGTTTTCAGGCAATGAAAAACTGCTACAATATAAGAAAGTAAATTTTGACACTTTATTAATGATCGTAATAGCTCAAGTGGATATCGGCCTGCTGCGAAATCGAAGTTCCCTGGTTCGCGTCATGTTTTCGGTCTGACTTTTATTCCTTTTTTTTCAAGTTCCCTTCTTTTGTGAGAAAATCTATTATTTCGAGCCCTATTTTGAATTTTTTTAAAAATACGAAAATTTAGTTGCACTCATGATTTTTTTTATTTTAATAATCAGTTCAGTTTTTTCTATTAAGTCGGTAAGATCAAAAAATATTCTTCATATTTTATCAGTATGTAATTTTTATCTGAATATAATTTCCAAAACACGAGATTTCAAAAAAAAAAATACCGAGCAATGCTCGGTCATCCAGGTACTTAACAATTAAAGTATGAATCTTACAATAACTTAAAAATAAACTAAAAGCGATTTTCTAATAGTTTTTACCGGTATTATAAGTTAAAATAGTGCATTGTAGAATAATATGAGACTAGACAAAAGTTTTTAGTAGTTACGGCAAAATTTAGTGCTTAATATTTTATATAGTAAGAAAGATATTTTAAACTCAACTACTACTCACCCAGAGTAAAAAACAAGTTATAGTAAGTAATGTATTTATTATAGTAATCATCATTCTCAAAAATCGATCTTTTTTATTTTATTTCCGATCCATACAAAGCACAGGTTACAAAAGTGACTTATTTCTTTTTTATTTAATCTATTAAGAAGAGGCGAAAAACTGAGCATATAGCAGTTTCGCTAGTTTTTGAACAGAAAAACTCATTCTTTACCGGTTTCGGTACATTGTAAATAAAAAAATAATTTTATAGTTCGTATGAAAACAGAAAAAGATTCGATCTCGATTTTCTAGGGTTAAATATCGATTCACTGGAACGATTCAGTACTATATATCGATTAAAAATTGATCTTTTTGGCACAAGAAATCGATTATTCGATTAATCGATCTCAGATCAACATGAATACGTAGCAGTGTTTCCACTTTTAGAGATTTTTCCTTTTTTAGGGAAAACTAAGTGAAATTGTACATGACTAGGGATTATTTTGATAAGACAGGGATTTAGGGTTGAACAAATTTTATGCTAGCTGTCATGAATTTTATGTGGAAGTAGTATTGCAAATCCAAAAGCGGTTCGACTTGAATGAGAAACTTTTTGACTTATTGAAGTATGTAGTTACAAAAATAGAAAGAAATCTGGAGAAACAATCAGTGAAAGATTTGTTAGACAAATGTAACTTTTTAACGACAAAATGCAACATGCAAAAAGCAGATAATAAACGAAGAAATCAAGCTCTTATAGACTTAAATCATTTTGGAATTGGAAGCAAAGAAGAACTAAAAACCATGCCAGCTGACATATATTGGAATAAGGTTCTAAGCATGAAATATTATCATGGTAATTTAGTTTTAGTTTGAGTTTGACACAACATAATGATATTTTTTAGGTGATCGATGCATTTAGGAATCCTTTATTATCCAAAATTTTAAACCGTTAATAGGGGATGAAATATTTAGTTGATATTGATTTCGCGGGTTCAAAGAATATATACACTACGCGAAAAGAAACGACACTTAAGCATGTGTGCACGTAAAATCGCTTGCGGCTATGTGTGGGTGTCTGGATGTATGCGGGGGCCCTGAGAGGCGCGCGGGGCGTGGAACGGGCAGTCGCCGACTGCCCTGGCCGAGGCCAGTAGTAATACCGATATTTGTCAGTATTAGTTAATATGAATATATTCGTCAAGTGATATAATATTTCAATTAATATATGAGTATTACTGATATCTTAATGGACATATTACTATTCTATTCATGTAGGTATTAAGTTTATGTTACCAAGTAACGTTATTAGTTTTTATAGCCGTGTATGCTAGGTTTATATGCTTTGATAAATATTAATGTTGTTATTAAATAAATGATATTATAGTATATGTATAAGTATTACTGATTGTGATTTTAAGTGATTAGAATTAAAATAAATTCCACTGCACTAAACAAGGGCCCTTGTTTTGTTAGTTAAATTTTTAATAATGTTTTATGATACCTAAAAATATGTGAACTCATTTTAATGAAAGTCGATATGATCTTAACAAGAATTATGGGGAAATACCATGACAATATAACTAATATACTGCCAGTAATTTTATTATATTACATTAACTGAAATCTACACTATTAAAAATACCACTAAAGAGTCAGGAAATTTTAGATATCCATAAAGAGTTTTTGTATTTGTTCATTGTTGTATTTATGGATTATTTTATTAGAAATAGAAATGACTTATCTCCTCAACACATAAGGAACAATTTGTTGGCCGCCATGACCCAGGAAACCTGCATACCTTTGGATTTTCTAAAAAAATATACATGCTACGAATTTTTGCAATTGTTAGAAATAATAATGAAAATCAAAAAATTTATCGAAAAATTCAAAAATATATAAGAGTAAATTATTTTTAAAGGATAGTTGGTAATACTGATTATTGCGTACTGAAATACTAAGTGTTGGTTAATTATTTAATATTACCATTAACTGTCGTGCATATTTGGTTTTGTCGGAAGTTTTAATATTCCTCATTTAATAAAAGTTGATTTTAAAATTGAACGTATCTTTCACTACCCAAATACATAAGTTTACATAATATATAACACATACCTACTATTATCTTCTTTGGTACAAGTCTATAATATTCCATTTCGGTTCGATATCAACCCTAGCGTTACACGCTTCGACTCAAGGTCACCGGCGCTTAAGCTCTCACGTTCAGGGAGTGTCACCGCTGTGGTGGGTTCGTATTGTTCACAAGTTCTTATTAATCGATTATTGGTTGACATCGATGTTTGACATGTGGCATCATCGATGTTTAAGGTGTGGTAACATCGATGTTTTAATTCTAACAGCGATGATCATCGAACATCGACATCGATGATCATCGATCATCCCTGCTTTGAGGTTATATAATTATATTTATAGTTTGAAACTGAACTTTGAAACTGCAAAACATTTAATTCACGTATTACTTAGAGTATTAAAGATTAGATTTTTAAATAATATATAGATAAAGATTTATTTATTAATTACTATTTAAGTTGGCGATTATTCTTTATCCTCTAGGCTTAGGACTAGCAGAAAAGTTTCATAAGTTAGAACGGGTTATGTTACCAGTAGTAAGGTTTATAGGATATCGTTTGTTGACACTTGACAATATTTACAAACAGCAAGTTACTACTGTACACGGTATTTTTTTTTTATCAAAGTGAGACCATATTTAGCCTTACGCGATATTTTGAGTCTTTTTACAAAAATGACTAAGAGTCTAAATCAACTTAAACTATATTTTTACTGTACACTTTATTGTCTGAATTAATACTAATGTACAAAAAGCACAAAAATATTGCAAATACATGTACGAAAGCAACGTCAAAAATTAATATAGGTATTGTTTTAATATATCGTTCTCATGCCTAGTATTATTTTCAGTAACCACAGAAAGAGAACAAGTTAAGATAAAAGATTAATCGTTTTAAGCTCAAGGATTACTATGAGCATGAATACTGAAGATATAGTTACACAGTCTACTTTTTCAATGCTGGATGGAAAAATTGATAGTAGATTATTAGAATCAATCAAATTGATGGGTTTTAAAAAACCTACTAAAATACAAGCAATAAGTCTACCTCATCTTCTCCTTGGAAAAGATCTTATAGGGGCTGCAAAAACAGGAAGTGGAAAAACAATAGCTTTTTTATTACCAGTAATACAAAACTTATTAAAATTAAAATACACTCGAAAACATGGTAAACCTTTAGTTTTGGCCTCATTTGCACCCTATTACTAAATTATAATATATTTATTTCATAAAATAATTAATTTAATATGCTTTTTAGGTGTTGGTTGTATTATCATAAATCCCACAAGAGAATTAGCTTTACAAACTTATGAAGTATTGAGGAAATTACTTACGAAAATTGATTTATCTTATGCTTTGATAGTTGGTGGTGAAAAAAAACACAAAGAGATGTTGTCTTTACAGAAAGGTAAAAATACTGTATTATAAATAGGCACCACAAGCTATATCTCGAAGCTTTGTTTCTTTTTATAGAATTAGTGTGACAAACAAGCACACAGTCCATCTGATGGTAAGTGGATGCTGTGGCCCATAGACATCTACATTTATCTTCATTTAAAAATCAAAATGCAGATGCGTTGCCAGCCCTGAGAACTGACATGGAATGCCTCGCTTCCAGTAAAAGGAGTCTCCGGTTCTCTACACTCACCATATGAAACACAGCAGCACCAAGCTACTATTTTACGCTGGTATTCTGTGAGAGTGTGGTCCTTCGCTGGTCGAACCGACCCATTTGTGCTACAACTGTACTACTAATATAACTGCAGCATAGCTCTACCACGTAATATATGTCATCATTATTGACACAGGTTCTGTTCTTTTGTGTTGTCGATTTACTTGTCTTCTTCATCTGGCTATAAAAGTCCACTGCTGGTTATTGACCTTTTCTATCGGCAAAATGACAATTGCAGTTTTTTTATGAATAAGGGTGACAAACAAGCACACAGTCCACCTGATGGTAAGTGGACGCTGTGACCTATAGACATCTACATCTATCCTTAATTAAGCATTGAAATGCAGATGAGTTGTTCTGCTTGAGTACTAAGATGGAATGCCTCATTTTCAGAAAAAAAGGTCTTTGGTTCTCTACTCTCACCATACGAAATAGCAGTACAAAGCTGCTATTTTACACTGGTAATCTAGGTGAGTGTGGCCCTTCAGACTGGTCTAGTTGATCCATTTGTGCTACAACCGTAATATAGCTGAAGCATGGCTTTACCGTGTGTAAGACATTTAGGCTCTGGCTCTACCACATGTAAGTTTTATACATCTCACATTTGATGCTGCTTCTCCTTGCTGGTCTGGATATTTTAAGCTTGACTTTAACAACATGGTTATTTGTTAACTAAGATCTTTTTGGTATATTCAATAGTCGCCGATTGTCACACTCATGGGGTAAAATTAGGGCATGAGTTGTCTTACACCTCAAGCATGCTTGTATTGTTTTATTCACTCACAGAATAATTATATTTGTTTTCTTAATATTTTTTATATAGAATAAGGGTTGAAGCCTCATTGCTTGGAGAGAAATTATACTGTTTGACTTATAGACATTTTATTTTTAGGTGTGAATATTATTGTTGCGACACCAGGACGCTTATTAGATCATTTAGAACATACACAAAAGTTTAATTTTAAAAATCTTAAATGCTTAATATTGGATGAAGCTGATAAGTTGCTTGAAGCGGGTTTTGAAAAACACTTAGTAGGAATTATAAAATTATTGCCAGGTATTTAAAAGTTGCTATCAATGAATAATTTTTAACAAACTGGGTGAGACCTATGTTCAGCAGTGGACTTGTGAAGGGCTGTAGTGATGATGATGATAAATCAATTAGGAATAAATACCTATTTAATACCTAATAAATACCTCTTGACTTTTATTTGCTATTAAGCATTAATTTACACTTAAAACAGATTTCAATTGTTTTGATTTATCTTTTGTGTGTTATTGAATTAAATGATAACATCATCATAACCCTGTAGCGGGTAATCCCGTGGGTGTCGTAAGAGGTGTCAAAGGAAAGCAAACCAGGAGATGGGTAGCAACCTCTTGCTGATAACAACTCAAAATTACAACGATACAAACAATTAAACAATCTATGGGGGAGGCCTATGTTTAGTAGTGGACTTTACTTAGATGTGATGATCCTTTTATTTAATTTTTTTTTGTTTGTTGTTTTTTCAACAGACAAGGTTTGAGCTACCATTTGATACCATCTTGTTGATTGACAAACTTTAAATATTTCCTGGATTTTGTTATTAAAGTATAGCCCCAAAAATTAATCACTAATTTTGTGGAGTCTAGTAACTGACATTACAAGTTTGTGTAATATAGCAGACCATCAGATCATCAAACTGGCTGAAATTCATCTGGAAAACACAACCTTAATTTATGAACAGCCGATGGAGACCAGCATTTAAAGTTAGGGTATCAGTTCTTCCTACATTAACCTAATTTACCATGAACATAAGCAAATCTTTTACACACTCTTTTCTTATTACTTTCCTAATTCTAAAATAAATAGGTAGGTACCTGTATTATAACTACTAGTAATATAAATAAGAGAAGGCCAGCAGTGGGTCTTATAATAACTGTAACTTTACTAATAATACAAACATTATTAATACTCATGTGATGCAACTTTACTTCAAACATACATAAAACCATTATTTTTATTATTTCAGAAAACAGGCAAACTGCTTTATTTAGTGCAACAATAGATGACAAAATAAGAAACCTGGCTAGATTGGCATTAAAAAGCAGTCCCATATTGATTTCGATACAGAATCATGTTCAGACTACAGTGGCAGGACTACAACAAGGGTATGTTATATGTATCACAAAACAAATGTACAAGGTGACATGTGGTTGCTTTTTAAAAGTCAACCTCATTAGCATATATTTTTTTATAGAAGAGGGAGAAACGAGCATGCGACTCACCTGATGGTAAATGAGTACCGCCGCCCATGAAGGGGGGGTGCGAAGGAGTAAGCTCTATTCTGAAGGTCACTAGTCGTTGATAAGAGATGAAGCGTTGCAACATATTTTCGCAGCATCAGTGGATCGCGGGGATCGGAGAGGACTCGGTCGTCGATGATTCGAGCCGCTCTGCGCTGGATACGGTCAAGTGGAAGGAGTTGGCACTGAGGAGCTCCGGCCCAGAAATGGGAACAGTATTCCATGTGAGGCCAAACCTACGCCTTGTAAAGTTGCAGGCGGTTTCTCGGCATGAAATACTATCACGCTCTGAACAGAGTATGCTAAGCTTTTTAGAGGCGAATTTGGCCTTCTCTTCCAAGTGGCCACAAGACTGCACATCATTCCGGTACTGAGCTGAGGCAACAAGGGGAGTGGCTTGAAACTGAGCAGATACGACAAAGGGGTTCTTTTTGGATGTAAACGCGCAAAGCTTGTGTCTTCTGGAGATTAAACTGTAAAAGATTTAGTCGCCCCCTAATCCGAAATTTCATTCAGCAAAGATTCGACTTCAGACATAAGTTTTTCCCGGTACTCGGCGACGTTTTCCCGAGAAATATTGGCATGGCCAGTGTATAGAGCATCACTAGCATTTTTATTCGCATAGCAGTAAATGTTACCGGTTTGCAACATATCATTGATATGCAGAAGAAACAGCGTTGGTGATAGCACGTAGCCTTGTGAAACACCAGCATTAATAGACTTTTAATTGGAGCATGCATCGTCTACTACGACCTTGATGGTCCGATCTACAAGAAAACTGGTGATCCAATTGCACAATTTCTCGTGGAGCCCAAATGATGAAAGCTTCGAAAAAAGCCCTTTGCGTTCGTGCTAAACCCGATCGAAGGCCTTCGCTATGTCCAAACTAACCGCCAAAGCCTCCCCCTTGGACTTAACTGCCTACGCCCATCGGTATGTGAGGTAAACAAGAAGATCACCAGCTGAGCGACCCCGACGGAAATCATACTGGCGACCACTAATCAGCTGGTGCTCCTCAAGATACTGCGTGAGCTAGCAGTTAATAATGGACTCCATTATTTTCGAGAAGAAGGAGGTGATGGCGATAGGCCTGTAGGTAAACGGATCAGAGCGGTTACCATATTTTCCACGAATTTGGGACTACGCCTAGCGAGTAAGAATACCGAAAAAGACGCATTACAACCGTGCCAACTCTGCAGCACACGTCCTCAGTACAATTAGCGGAATTCCGTCATTCCCACTCGACTTGTTGACGCCCAGGGAGATGAGTGCTTTGCGAACCGAGCGCTGAGTGAACTGCACTCTGGCACGGAACACACACCGCGGGGTGGTCGGCGGTGTGTTCCCCCGTCATCGAGGGTCAAGTTGAACGCAAAGAGAGACCTTAGCAGATCCTGTGATCACATGTGTGTGATCGGCTTTCTCCTTTGCGTCATGGGCCAGTGAATGTCCTCCCTGTGCAGAGATGGGAGAGATGGTTGGCAGAAGTTCCCTAGAACAGCCTTAGCGAGAAATTAGAATGCACGGGTTCCCGAAGGAAGGCAAACTAGTTTCTTGGCAATTCTGCCTATGTGCTCTGACTCTGTATATGCAATGATTCTTTTGAAGGACCTGGAGGCGGGATTATACTTCTTTTTAAGGGCGCTGGTGTTTACATCCTGAACCGCCGAAGCGTCAGCCCAGAGACTAAGCATGAGTGCTTAGTACGTAATGCCGTCTTACAGGAGCGATCAAACCAAGACTGAGATCTGCCTCCTATGTGTACCACGGATGATGGAATAAATAGTTCCATTCCCTGTAGGTGCTACATCAGTAACCGAGTCAGCGCGCGAGTGGGATCATCCGGCGAGAAGCAACTAGGATATAAAGAAAGACCGCATTCTGTCCCAATCCGCCGACCTGTAATGCCGAGCACCGCGAAGGGAGCGTGAGTGGCAACAAACTCCGGATCAGACAATTGTCATAGCCAAGAGGGGCGTCGGCGGAAACCTGATATCCGTCTGGATGAGAAGTCAGCAGAAGGTTCAACAGGGAAGGTGTCTGATCCTCCACACCTGGAATCCGCATTGGCGCAGTAACCAGTTGTGTCAGACCATATGCCAAGGCAAAGTCATAAACAGATCTATCTATCTATGATCGGTTAACCGTGAACCGAGCCATTCGGTGTGGTGTAGTGTGGCGAAGCATCAGCATATTAATTCAGATAACCAACTGCCAAAAGGAAACCAATTTAAAATGTCAGACCTAAATCTAAAACACTGATAAAGGTGAGCCCACTATCAGTGCAATGATATTAGCTTAGTGCTCATAAAACCCACTAGCTAAAGAAAAAATTATAACAACAGTAAAAAGTAAAACAAACTAATCACTGTATAATATGGCCTTTAATATAATAGGACAAGATAGTTGTAGGTAGTTTCCCCCTGGAATTATATTTGGGTATGTCATTATCTGATTCAATTTGACTATGAAAAAATGTTTTTAGGTACTTTATTTGTCCAATTGAAGAAAGAATTAATTGGCTTCACAAAATGCTTAAAAAATGTAAAAAACTAAAGGTCATGGTATTCTTTTCATCATGTAAATCAGTGGACTTTCATTATGAATTTTTCAAAACACATTGCAAAGCTCCAGTTATAAGTATACATGTAAGTAATCATAGTAAAATTTAATTATATCATTTATTATAAAAGAGCCGTGGTAGCTTAGGGGCTATTAAACGCTCACTGTAAGTTTGACAGTAGCAACCTGTGTTCGATCCCCGTCGGCACCAATGAAATTGTTAATTTCAATTTCAGTGCTGATTTAGCACATGCTCAGCGGTGAAAAAAAAAATCGTGAGGAAATCTGCATGTTTGACAAATAATAGAAAAAATATTTTGAAGACATGTAAAGTTTGTGTTATCAGTGATTTTTACATAATTTCTATTATGAATCGTTATAAATAATACTTGTATAATTATCGTTATTTTTTTAATTATCAAATATAAAATAGATTATTAGTCATTGTCAAAAATTATCTATGATAATTAACATAACATAACATAAACACTTCACGCCTGTCACCCAGAGGGGTAGGCAGAGACTACGGACTTCTTTCGCCTCCTTTACATCCATATATCTACGCATACATGCTCGTCGGTTAAGGGTACTTCTAACGTGGCCCATTTTCAAAATATCGCCAATTTGGTCGATAAACTTTTTCCTAGGGCGTCCCTTCCCGACTCGGCCATTCACATCTGCCATATAAATTTGCTTTGTCACTCTTTCCTCATTCATTCTTTCTACGTGACCAAACCACCGAAGCATTCCTTTCTTAATCCTGGTCACAACATCATCTTGCATACCACATTTATCTCTTATCACACAATTTCTCACCCTGTCATTCAGATTACACCCTAGCATATTCCTTAAAGACCGCATTTCTACAGCATTTATTCTACTTTCGTGCTTCTTCTGCCACACCCAGCTTTCACTACCATACATTAAAGTAGGGACTAACACAGCATTATGAATTACCATACGTGCCTGTTTTGACAAATTCTGGTTCTTCATAATAGAGTGTAGTGCCCCATTCACTCTATTCCCTGCATTTACTCGTCGTTCTATATCCCTATCATATCTACCATCCCTGCTAAATACACATCCCAAATACACAAACTCATCCACTTGCTCAATCAACTCTCCTTCTATTCTTATTTCACATACCGTTTTGCTTTCTTCTCTTTCAAAAACCATCACTTTCGTCTTACTTGCGTTCACTTTCATTCCCCTTTCTTTTAATTCCCAGTTCATTAATGTAACCATCATTTGCAACTCTGCCGCCGATGACGCAAGTATGACTTGATCATCGGCATACAAAAGGCATTTGACGGTTAACTCGCCCATTCTTAACCCACATTCTTCATCTTTCAAAGTTTGCAAACACCGGTCCATAAATAGGTTGAACAGCCAAGGGGAAGCCACACAGCCCTGTCTGACACCTTTTTGGATGCCAAACCAGTCCGAGTAGACCCCATTGATCCTGACACAAGCACTAGAGTCCCTATAAAGAGACCTTAATGCCTGTATCAAACCAGCGCTCAACCCATATAAGTTCAGTGTTTGCCATAACACATTCCTGTCCACTCTGTCATAAGCCTTTTCCAAGTCCATGAACGCACAAAAAACTTTCTGGTTTTTGGCCAAAAACTTCTCCGCAATCATGCGCATGGAAAAGACTTGATCTGTACACCCCATTCCCTTTCTAAAACCCGCTTGCACATCCCAAATTTTTCCATCAGTTTCTTTCATAACTCTTTCAATTAACACCTTAGCATACAGTTTACCCACAATACTAAGCAAGCTGATACCGCGGTAGTTTTTGCAGTCCTGCTGTACCCTTTTCCTTTATATATTGGTACTATAACTGCTTTACACCAGTCATCCGGTATCTATGATAATTATTATGTCAATAATAATTACAAAGAGTATTATTTCATTTTCTAAACATTTATAATTAACTCACTTATTAGTAATATTTATAACAGCGTTTTACTTATTTTCATATTATAAAAGTATTTGGATTGTATAATTCTTACACATTCAAACCGTTGCTAGGTTCAGTTTTGATAGGTAGTAGGGATATGCCACCACCATTGTGTGATATTATTTTCATATTATAAAAGTATTAGGATTGTATAATTCTTACACATTCAAACCGTTGCTAGGTTCAGTTTTGATAGGTAGTAGGGATATGCCACCACCATTGTGTGATATTATTTTCATATTATAAAAGTATTAGGATTGTATAATTCTTACACATTCAAACCGTTGCTAGGTTCAGTTTTGATAGGTAGTAGGGATATGCCACCACCATTGTGTGATATTATTTTCATATTATAAAAGTATTAGGATTGTATAATTCTTACACATTCAAACCGTTGCTAGGTTCAGTTTTGATAGGTAGTAGGGATATGCCACCACCATTGTGTGATATTATTTTCATATTATAAAAGTATTAGGATTGTATAATTCCTACACATTCAAACCGTTGCTAGGTTCAGTTTTGATAGGTAGTAGGGATATGCCACCACCATTGTGTGATATTATTTTCATATTATAAAAGTATTTATAATTCTTACACATTCAAACCGTTGCTAGGTTCAGTTTTGATAGGTAGTAGGGATATGCCACCACCATTGTGTGATATTATTTAAACGATTGCAATAATTATTGACTGGCTTTTCGAGTTGTGAACTAGTAAAGTAAACAAGTAATCAGGCGTAGTATTATCCTTCCTGGGACTCCTATAATATTTGCTTCGAAGTTGTTTCGAAGACATGCGCGGCAGACATTTCCTTGCACTAAAACTCTCAGAAATGAGAGGAGGCTTGTGCTCGGCAGTGGGACGTATATAGGCTGTAACTTTAACTTTTTTTTATTTGTATTTGAGCTGAAGTCCGCTGATCTTTGTTCATCTTCTTCATCAGCTCATCCACCGCTGAACATTGTCCTTGCCCTTTGTATGAAAGATTTTTCTTTATCATTATGTTAGGCAAGCAGATTCACGATAGGAGTACTTTTTGCTTTGTCGCCGGTATGGATATTTTACGACTGTCGTAACAGAGTTACTCCGTCATCGATTGCGAGGCATATGATTCTTCTGGCATTACCTATAGGCATTTCTTACAGTACCTACTGGACAAAATAATTGAAGTTGTGATGGTGCATAGAATACTATAATACACAATAGAATGGCTGTCAATCTTATTTTGTACGAGATTCGGCGTTGCCGGGAGCACACATACAAGCAATTACAAACCCGATTCGCTGTATTGACAGACTGAGTAAATTTACACATTTTAGACTTGATTAATGTTCAAAAATCAAAATCATCAAAAAAAATCGTTTAAATTTTAATGCATATTTATATGTAAATAGTGTGCAATTTGGTATTTTCTAAATAATTTGCATGCGAAATTTGGAAAAAATTGTTACGTCAAAACACATCTCGTGTTGACATTTATACGTGTGAATTGACATGTTATAGTCCGTTCGCGTTAAGAAAATGTGAGTCATCGTTGTCTGCCGGCCTGGCCACGCCCACCAGCCAATTAAAATGCAAGAAATTAGAAAGTCAAGTTCACAGTGACCAGTTGAAGTCGGGCCTTCGAACATTTGGCATTACAATTCTTCGCCTACCGCCTTACCATTACAAACTTAATCCAATTGAATTGGTTTGGGCCCAATTAAAAAATTATGTTGGTGCCAATAACTCCACGTTCAAAATGAGTGACATAAAAAAATAATTAGATGACGCTATAGCATTAATAGACGCTAATCGTTGGAAGAAGTGCTGCGACCACGTGATACACGAAGAAAATACCATGTGGCATTTGGATGACATCATGGAACTTGCAGAACAAAATTCTTTCATAATTAATAAAACTGGAGAATCTAGCGATACTCATTAGTGATTTAAGTAATTTAAAAAAAAAATTGTTTCCATTAAACTTAATTAAATGTTTGAAAAAAAAAAAACAATTTTTACTCCACTGTGAATACACCTTTACCCTGTAGTTGCACTGATGACTCACTATTTTCTTAACGCGAACGGACTATAGTGACAAATACACGGGCTCCGTCCACTCCCCCGTTCTATTATGTATGTATTATAGTATTCTGTGTGACTGCGGCACAAACAAATCATCGCTTTTGCCACCAATAGCTATTTTTATGCTGTAAAATGTTTTAAAAAGAATGAATCATGCACTTTTGTGTTGATGATGATTATATTTAAGGGTAAACTAAGTCAATCTAAAAGAAAAGAAGCATATAGAAGTTTTGTTGATGTACAACGGGGCGCACTTTTTTGTACTGATGTAGCAGCTAGGGGTTTGGATATACCCCATGTGGATTGGATTGTGCAATATGATCCTCCTACAGATGTTAAGGTAAATTAAAATTTTATTACACTACAACTGGTAATAAATACAATATTATGATTAACTCTTTAATTCTTAACACATCCCTATTTTTGAATGTAATATTTCTTCATTGAAATTTATATGAGGTATTAATTTTCCGTAGTCACATAGCTAACTGTCAATATTTTAGGAATATATCCACCGAGTTGGCCGTACTGCAAGAGGCATGAATACAACAGGCAATGCTGTAATAATATTAAGGCCAGAGGAAGAAGAATTTATTAACTTTCTAAAGACAAAGAAAGTGTATTTGGACAAATATAATTTTGAAAAACCCTCCAGGGATGTACTGGAAATGGTATTACATTTATCACACTTGTACTGATTATTTTTTTAATAATTTTGATAGTAATAATGTTTTAATTTTTCAGTTACAAGATTTAATAACTAACAATGGTGTAATGAAAATGCTGGCAAGAAAAGCATTCCTGTCTTTTTTAAGATGTTATAAGAAACATCCTTTGCATAAATTCTTTGACATTAATAAATTGGACTTAGAATTGGCGGCAAAAGGTTTTGGATTTCTGGAAACACCTCATGTTGATTTTTGTATCCTTTTATTTATATCATTTAAGTATATTGATGTGCGGTGACGGCGTAAGAGAATTCATAGCCAGTGCCTTTCTTGGATGGTTCTTTTGAACAGGCAACAGGTGAGTGGCACAGGTGTCCCGAGATAATACATAATACATGTTTTTTATCAATCTGTGGAAGATGCCTATGTCAGTGGCCCATGTGGCTCGAGAACGTGCTTTTTATTTATCTGTAGGAGAAACCTACATACTTATTATGTTAACAGTGATCGTGATGGGCTGTAATGATGATGACTAAAATATTAAATTTGATCTATAATCCACAGAGAATATTCCATCCATCCATTACAGCCCATAAAGGTTCACTGCTTTACATAAGTCTTCCCTTATAGATTGCCTCATATTTTTGCCATTAATGCCGCGCCATTACGATTGGAATTAGCGATGGGTCGTTGACGGTCGTGGCCACTATATTACAGTCCTTCACAAATATTTCCTTCAGATTAGGGTATACAAATTGATGTTTTTTTTCACTATTCTAGTGGGCAATTCAAATTTCCTGATTGGTCCTTTCGAGGTAATAACTCATCGGAATGTAGTCTACCTCCTTGATGGCCTTTGAAAGCAGTGTTCCTTGAGTTGTGGTACTCGCGATCATTTGATCGAAAAATTTTCAAGAGCTTAGTTCATCATTTGTATTTCTGTTAACATCGTCAGTTTCGAGACTGTAGACGCTGTGGAGTTTCCTATTGTTTGTGCGATCAAAGCTGCAATAATTTTCCTTTTTCTTTTGTTTTTTATGTTTCATGTTGATCTGAAAAACCTTGCATTTTGTACCGGGGGTTCATAAAATGCACAACGAAAAGGTGCCACTTTGTTCAATTATTTCAAACCGGTCGACCAACCAACAGATTTTTATAACCGAACGCTCTTTTGCGTCAGCTAATAGACCTGTTCTGTCTATTAATTATTCGCACGCTTATTTTAAGCATCGTGACAACTATTACAGATCTTACCGTGACATATTTTTGTCCACTCATTGAATAGGTTATTTTTTCAAAAGGTATAGTAGTCTTAATATTTAACACGATTGTGAGTATAGTGTCCAGTCTGCGGCAGTGATTACAGGCAAGCGGCCGTCTGTAAAAGCTAAAGAAGCTCGAATAGTTTCTCCAAGTTCAACAAATCGTTTCAACATAAAATATGTTGAGTTCCATGTTGTATCTACAGCTTGAATAAGTCGTTTTGGTTCCTTGCATATACCTGTTGCGTTATTGAATTTGAAAGCGTTTTTCTAGTAGGAAGCACATATCCCGGTATTCACCGACAAAATTTTCTAAATGCCGGTTCTTCCACGATGGAAAACGGATAAAAACTGTCTGTACTTAAATCTAATAATTCTAAATTAAATGATTTCTTTTGTTCAGCACTATTTTTTTTTTGCTGACAAAATCAACCATCATGCGCTGACGTTTAGGTGCTAATGATGTCTTCACAGTCTCATTGGTGGCCGCGGCTGGAACCTGAACTAAAATCGGCACACTTTGACTGATTGATGGCATGGAATGGAGTAAATTCAGTTCGGATATAGGCGGGTTACTTGAAGATTGAGACGACAAAAATGCTGGTGAAAATATTAAAATATGTTTCCGTTTAAAGTAGCCTTTTAAATTCGCCGTGGTTTATTTGTACGATATTTTCTCCTTGCATACGTTACAGTCGAATCGTCTTTCTCGAAATGCAGCCACAATTCAATACCTTTACGATAAGTTGCAAAATAACTTCTTACCTTCCGGGCAACTTGTCACTAACTTGTAGTGGCCACAGAAATCATGGTAATAAGACAATAGAAGTCGCATAGACGCGTGACCTTGTCGCCGCTGTTAGGTGTTGACGAACATATTTTCCATTTAGTGATTTAGTTGCACGAGGAACGTCTTACGTGAATTTATGTTATTATAATGGTGAACTGCAGCATAATAGTAAAAAAAGTAGGTAGTAAAAAATCATCAAAGACGTGTAATACAACGAATAAAGACATAAAATTTCATCGGTAAGTTGATTATTTACTAATTATTTTAACTAATTTACATCTAGATGAATACTTTACTATGATATTTACCTTTGTAAACTTTCATTTGTTACTTTTTGTATTTACAATTACCATTGCTGCTTTTGTTCTACCGTAATACGCGACGGACGCGAAGTTGACAAACTCGCCAAGCAATGTAGTTTGAAACATTAGATATCATTGTGCATTGCGTATGTTTATAATACGGCTGCAAGTGGGACATCAGTTTTGAAAGTAATCGAGCGCTAATTCATTTCTATTGTCTTATTATTACGATTTCTGTGGTAGTGACACTCGTCTCGGGTGGCACGAGTGGGGCGCGCCATTCCACCAATGTCGCCATAAGTACTATTCTTAAAATAAATATTTCGAAAATCAACTCTTTTATACGTTATTTACAGTTCAAATTGTATAACATAACCGTCGCTCGCAATCTATGACGTTATTTTCAACGTTGTTTTTGAATTTGCTCAGTTCATTGCGTTTGCGTTCTCGATTTTTGAACGAGACGCACGAGTTAAATTCATAAGCGTCGTTGACGAATTCAAGTAGATGATTCATAAACGGTTAACGTTAATACATTGACAGGAGAATCAACGGTTGATTCCAGAACTTGTATTTTGTTAATTTCTAGCTTAAGCCTATTCAACTATAGATAATAAGAGAAATTATTATTACATATCAAGTCATTTCCATGACTCAACTTCTACAGTAAACAACAAGAAGAACTAACTACTTTAGGAACTACGTGGTTATCAATTTGGTCTGGTTTGGTTTGGTAGTGAAATAACATGACACCAATTTAAAAAAAACTGTGATAAATGTTACTATTGTATTTGATTTTATTTGTAAGTAAACTATGTCATATTTTTGTTCTTTTTTGTTCTTTATTATTTGCTCCCCTTAATTTTTCTGTAGAAGATTTGTTTCTAAAAGATATTTTACAATTTTTGATTTTACAGTTTTTAATAATTTTAACCGACTCCAAAAAAGGAGGAAGAGGAAAAGATTTTTGGGCATAAGATTTTTCTTTTTTTCTCAAACAATAATAAACAAGTGTTTGACTTCTATCCCACCTTTTGGTAAGTGGTAATGCAGCCGAAGATAGGTAAAGCGCACAAACCTAGCTGAGGGATTTATTTGGAGCCAGGAAGAGTAAAACAAGGAATCATAAAAATGTTTTCAATTTCTTTCCGCTACTTTTCCTTCATCGATAAGTACGAGATAAATGAGTACTTAAGAGCGTATATTCAAATATGTATGTGCAAGTCAAAATCTACGCGGTCGCTCTGGAATGTCGAATATCATAGAGAAACGGAGACCCTTTTTACTGGAAAAGAGGCATTCCATCTTAGCCCTCAAGGCTGACAACGCATCTGCATTTTGATTCGCAAACGAGGATAGAAGTAGATGTCTATGGGCCACAGCAACCACTTACCATCAGGTGGACTGTGTGCTCGCTTGTCACCCTTTTACTATAAAAGAAGCACTACAATGTTCTCTCTGTGTGCGTGACTGCGAGGTGGGCGAGTGCAAGGTTACTAGTGGTATCTAGCACGAATCATCTTGATACTATTGAAACTAAAATAATAAAATAATTTCCACATAATAGCTTATGAGGTCGTAGCTAAGACATAGTGTATACAAGAATTAATATCCGATCTAGCCACGACATCGGAAGCTAATATGTATAAATTATTTTATTATTTTAGTAAATTGCGTAAAAATCACATGTTCGTGCATAATCAAACGGTTTTAATACCTCATACCTTGGTAAAATCCTTACATCGGACGTATATTGTTACTTTATTTATTGAAAATAACAGTACCTACAACCGATTGAGGAAATTGACTAGTGGAAGAACTTTTCCACAAGACTTGCATGTAACTAAGTGTACTTATCTAAACAGCAGCATGTAAGTTAGGTACTGTACTTATTACTAGTAATAGAATGAAATAATAACTGATCGTCGAATTAACGACATCGATGCATAGCGCAACCCGGCGATAGGCATCACGTATCATCCAAGCCGTATCTAAAATAAATTTTGTAAATATTTGGGACCACTGACATTATAATTTTTTTTAACACGTTCCGGGACACTTGACTATTTGCAAATGTCATGATATGACACTTCAAAATCCCATACATTTTATCGTATCGTCTACAGCTGTGCTATCATATTACATATATTTTTAATTTTTTGATACGACAAATACGGCCACAGACGTTGACGCCTATGGGCGGAACGTCGTGCCATGACTAACCACGAGTAATGTAATGAGACAGTGCGGCTACAGACGGTACCGTCTATAGGCGGTCTGCCATATTACATACATTTGAAAAAGGTTTATTTTTACGGAACGCCCTAAGGCGCTAACGCCTAAGGGCGGCCTGTCATAATAGGTTTATCTTTAATGTATTATAAGGCAACATCGGCGTTGGGCGGGACCGCCTTTCATGTCTTGATAAGCTTATTGACAATACTGAAATAGGCGTACCGCCTAGAGGAGGTCTGTCATAAAATTGTTATTGATGACAGTTACGGCCCTTGACGTTATTGCCTTTCGAACAACTTAGGTACTTTTATAATGTCATCTACACTAAACAGGTAAGAAAATAATCAACACTACATAAATCAAACTTGTACTTTAATTGTCTTTGACAGTAATCAGTCTTATTATTCTATCTTAGTAGTATCTAGTCTTATCTTAGTATTCCTTTAATTGACATCCTTTTAATAATATTAAAGTAACTAAAGTAACTTAAGAAGCCATAAAAAAACTTTAAAAACTACTAAACAAAATACAGAATTTCTAAGTTTAAAACTTACAACATATTGAACAGAGTTTCTTCTTATCTAAAGTAATTCGTAGAAAAGGAAATAAATAATCCAATTATTAGTGTAGGTATGTGAGTATTAGAAATACTGTGCCAGGTTTCAAAGCATTCTGGACATAGTGGAGGAGATTTGGGACAGCCGCTGCATCGGTAACTTGTCTCCCTACGTCTTTTTGGCTCCTGACTTAGGCAAACTCTACAGTTTAGAAAAGAATACTTCTTTTTCGAATTTTCATGCGCTGCAATGCGAATTGGCCAATGACCAACGCCTATTCCTGGCGTTGAGGTGCTTGGTTCAGGAGCTTTTGATGGATATCTCTTCCATGCGTCAACTGTGACAAGGTCTTTCCCAACCACATCACCAAGTTTCGTAAAACTTCTTATCAACTTATCTCTGTATTCAACATATCCGTATTTCTTGACATTATTCTTTATAACATACTTTTTTGAACAAGAACGCATTCGCGTTCCAGGCAGCGACATCCAACATGTGAAAAATAACTTTTTTTGTACCACCTTGTCGTCTTCCGAGGACAAGAATAGTAACTGATTATTTGATCAGCACGATCAATGCCTGACATGAAGCTGTTGTACCGAGCTATTTCTTTAGGTTTTTTGCGCTTTTTCCCTACATATGTTGGTAACTTCAATGATCTCAGGTTGATCCAAAGTTGTCAACATCAAAACTTGCCGTTTATCTTTCCAATGACTCACGTAAACCTTGCCTTTTCGTAGCCAAAATATTCACCTTTTTTCAGTTTTTTTTTTGCTAGAAGTATTGGGTTACCCTTTCGATTACTTCTCAAGGTCCCACACGTATGTGTTTTCAGGTCAAGAAATTTCTCAGAGAGAGTCACGGAGTTATAAAAATTTTCCATGTATAATTCATGGCCTTTAAGCAGATAAGGTCTCATTAAACAAAAGACAAGTTTTGCAATGGTTTTTCCACCCGTATTGGATTCATCAACGTCTGCTTTACCAGAATACATTTTTTGGTTCAAAACATATCCGTCATGAGAAGTTAATACATAAAAATTAATTCCGTACTTGGTCTTCTTGTTCCGCATATAATATGTGCGAAAAATTAATCGACCTCTAAAAAGCATTATAGATTCATCAAGCGATAGCTCCTTATCAGGATAATAGACTTGACGGAAATTGCGAGTCAGTATATCTATAAATCCATTTATTTTATCTGGCCTTTTCGCGTTGAATTCAGATGGGCATAGGCATCGTAAGATTTGCTCGTACCTTCGACCCGATATCACGTAATTGAAAATAGGATGGTAATATAATGGGTCAGCATGAGTAAATAGCTTACGATTTTCAAGCACACGAATTTGTCCGGAAAGCAGAGAAAGACCAGGAAATTTATACATCTCTACATTTGTCGCATGAAAAACTCTGTCTTGAATGTCTAGTGTGCGGTCGGTTTTGGTTTACTAGTTACCATATGCATTCGTGCAATTCACTAAATACTCAACAAGGTCTGGCGTTAACAGTAAATCGAAAACATCTTTTTCAGTTTCGGCTTCATTTATGTGCATGCGTGGGCCGTGTAATGTTTGATCGAAGGTAAAATCAAGAATATCGGCAACAGTATCTACCCATCCTGCGTCATCCGGGGCTGAGGTAGTTGGTAAATGCTCATTGACAGTCTCTAGTGTTTGATTTGATAATATATCGGTGGGATTTGGATCTATTTGTTCAGTTTGATGGTAATGACAAGATAAGTGAGGTTTCGGAGAGCCCACTACTCCATCTTCTACGCAGTTTTCTAAGACAGACGGGTCATTGCAAGACCTTTCATCGACTTCCTGGTTCAATATAGAATCGTCCATACTTGATCACGAATCGCTGGACCAAAGTGGGCTTTCACTAATCCTACTGGAACGCATAAGCCTAACGTTTCTCGTACTGAAAATCTCATAATATGATCCACTGTTTCGCCTTCTTGAGCACCATCTGGGTCATAATTTGTATCAAAACCGAACTCACCATCTGCGTCACTGTATGGGTCGTGGTGGTTTTCATCCGCATTGTCTTCAGCAGAAAACAGACTTGGACAGTTACTTGATGTCAGTTTCTTCCGTTTTGACGCCATCTGCGAAACAATATAGGTAAATACTTACAATAAAAACAGTTAGTAAGAAGCTAAAATAGTGGGTAAATAGCATTTGAACAATACGTTTATGTTTATTAATTTCTTACTTTTACATCATGTTTTTATCCCTACAAGTAAAAAAACAGCAATACTGTATAACACAACAAATATGAATCAAACTAAATTAGATTATAGGTATAAATAAGCTTTATTTACCTTGCTTTCGCTGATGAAAATCAAAAACCACACGCAGCTATGCGACGACACTGGCGGCGCATACGCCGTGACACTAAATATCAACATTATTGTACTTGTATGGCTCAGTCTACGTCTGTCGGCGGTGTGACTGTGTTGTTTTGGTCTATGAGCACTGCGTATGTGTGTGTTGAAAAATGACTCGAAAAGAATTTACCGTGAAGCCTACGAACGAATGAAGTCGCGTGATGTGACACTAGATCATGAACTTCCTAGGAATGTTACGAGCAAGCAACGGCTATCGACGGCTTTCCAAATTACATGTAATAAAGTTCATCGCCGTTGGCCGTACTGTCACGTAGCAATATACCGAGATAACGTCGAGAGGCGGTCTGTCCCGGAAAGTGTTAAAAGTCTCGCTGGTTTTCTTGCCAGTTCTTCCCAGGACAGAGGTTTTTTCGAATCAGTGGTAAAGTAAAAAATGACTTACAATAAGAATTACATGTAATCTATCTATATTGAATAAAAATATCATTCTATTCTGTTCTACACAGTGAGAAGAAAAAACGAGTTAACATTATTGATATCTGAGATGTATCTTGCTATGCCAACACATGACGCGCAGTTTAAAACTGATGTAGCCTATTTAGTTCGAGCTTGGTGGGAAGATATAAAATTCTCAAAGTAAGGGGGTTAGTAAAAATTAGGGACATTTGGCGTCGTGATTAAGGGTGAATCGGAACGTCTGATGACAGACCCCTGAAAATTAATAATAAAATAATTAAAATAAATAAGTTTATATACAAAAACACGGAAAAATATGACATTGACAGTTTTGATTTTTAGTACTCTTATTAGTTTGTGATGATTTTATAGTATTGTTTTTTAGTATTAAATCGAAATATTTTAGTAATTAAGGCTTTGTGTTGCACTGGAAGACTATATATTCCATTACAATAACTCTTAAAATGAAGTATTTTAGCTTATAATAATTGTAGTATTCGATCTGAAAGACAACTCTGAGGCATATTTTCGTAAAACGCTATAGGAGGATTGTCTTCGCTCTAACCGTCGTTAAAAACTGATGACTGCCGGTCCACCAAATTTCGAAAATTTCACTTACGAACTGACCATGCTGCACTAAAATGGCTATTGCAGTTCAAAAATTCAGGACAAGTTGCGAGGTGGATTGAACTACTGCAGGAATACGACTTTGTGATCGAACATCGCAACGGGAAATCTCATCGCAACGTAGATGCATTGTCACAAAGACCTTGTTCTGAAGATTGCAAGCATTATACTAGGCTAGGTAAGGAAGTGGTATCTGTGAGGATGCTCAGGACAGACCACCTCAGCAACGAATGGAAGGGATAGTTTACAACATGCACAGCAGGAAGATATGGTATCGCGAGTTTTGTCTCAATGTGCGATGGTGAAATTGTGCGGCTGGAATTAGTCCGAACAATTCCTCAGAGCACTCTCCGTGGTAGATGCGATAAAATACGCAAAGAGATGCAACATCTCTTTGCAGTGCCAGTGAATCAAACCGATCGGAAAGAGCTCGGTCGCCGACGATTCGAACAGTTCTGCGCTGGATGCGATCAAATACAAGGAGCTGGCACTGAGAAGCCCCGGCCCAGAGGTGGGCACAGTATTCCATATGCGGCCGAACCTGCGCCTTGTAAAGTGAGCCGGCATAAAATACTGTCCCGCTCTGCTGAGCACGCCAAGCTTTTTAGAGGTCAGTTTGGCCTTCTCTTCCAAGTGACCACGCAACTTAACGTCACTCGATATGTCGACGCCGAGGATTCTGATACTGGCTGAGGCGACAAGGGGAGTGCCTTGAAACTGAGAAGATACAAGTTTTTTTTTTTGCGGTAATCGCAATAACTTGTGATTTTTGGGGATTAAACTGGACTAAATTTAGTCACCCCAGTCCGAGACTTTGTTCAACATAGTTTTGACTTCAGACACAAGTTTGTCTCGGTACTCAGCGACGTTTTCCCGAGAAATATTGGCACGGCCGGTGTATGAAACCATACTGGCGGCGTGGCGTCACTAATCAGCTGGTGATCTTCAAGGTACCGCATGAGCTGGCTTTTAATAATGAATTCCATTATTTTAGAGAACAAGGAGGTGATGGCGATAGGCCTATAGTTGGACGGATCAGTCCGGTTACCTTTTCTAGGGATCGGGTGCACGAGGGCAGTCTTCCACAATTTCGGGACTACGCCGAGGGAGTAGGAGTACCGGAAGAGACGCGTTAAAACCGGTGCCAACTCCGGAGTACACGTCTTCAGCATAATAGGAGGGACGCCATCCGGCACACTCGACTTGTTAACGTCCAGAGAGAGGAGTGCTCTGTGCACTGAGCGTTGAGTAAACAGGACATCCTGCATGGAGCACTCACTCCGCAGGATGGTCGGCGGTGTGTTCCCCCCGTCATCAAGAGTCAAGTTGGACGCAAAGAGAGAGCCCAGCAGATCGGCTTTGTCCTTTGCAGCATGGGCCAGTGAGTCGTCCTCCCTGTGTAGAGGTGGGAGAGATGGCTGACAGAAGTTCCCTTGGACAGCCTTGGCGAGAGACCAGAATGCACGTGTTCCCGAAGGAAGACGAACTAGTTTCTCGCCAATTCTGCCGATGTGCTCTGACTTTGTCTTGACAATGACACTTTTGAAGGACCTGGAGGCAGAATTGTACTTCTTTTTAAGAGAGCTGGTATTTGCATCCTGAGACGTCGATGCGCGAGCCCAGGCCTGACAGCACTCCTGCTTATGACGTAGTGCAATTTTGCAGGAGCGACCAAACCAAGGCTGGGTTGTGTACCTCCGACAGGTACCACAGATGATGGAATAAAAAGTTCCATTCCCTGTAGCACCATATCAGCGACAGAATCAGCAACAACGCTGGGATCATCCGGCGAGAAGCAAACCCGCCTCCAAGGGTAGGACGTAAAAAAAGATCGCATCCTGTCCCAATCTGCTGACCTATAATGCCAAACACGGCGGCAACCTGCAGTACGCAACCGCGATGAGAGCTTAAGTGGCACCGTACTCCGGATCAGTCAATGGTCCGAGGAGCCAAGAGGAGCATCGACGGAGACCTGATATCTGTCTGGATGAGAGGTCAGCAGAAGGTCCAACAGGGAAGTTACATGGTCTTCCACATCTGGGATCCGCGTAGGCGAGGTAACCAGTTGTGTCAGACCATATGCCAAAGCAAAGTCATAAACAGATCTACCCGCATGACCGGTTAAACGAGAGAGTTGTATAGGTTTCGTACTCTGTTTTTGTACTCGGATGGCCATCATAGTCCTACTGTACAAATACTTTAGCACTTCGATATACTGACAATCAACTTGGCACTGCTTAAGGGACTGTAGCACCATCCGAATTTCGACGGAATCAAAGGCTTTATCGTAGTCCACACACACACGGCAATGTGGCAGATTGTACTCTTTGGTCTTCTCTACAATCTGCTGCAGGGTGTGTATGGGGTCTGTGGTACTGAAGCCTTTACGGAAACCGGCTTGTTCGGGAGACAGGAAGTCGTCGAGACTACGTGCGAGACGATCCGTGATGACTCGAAAACAGCACATAGACGCGGCTCAGAAGGGAAGGGAAAAGAAGGGTCTTTCTTGAAGAATAAGCCCACCGCACTTCTACTCCATGCCTCCGGAGTAGTGCCAACATAGAGGACGGAATAGGTTATTTAACACTATGTAAAAAAAAATCTAAAAATATATATTTATGATAGATTTTGTAAAAAGTTAACGAGAAATATTGATTTCTATTAATAAAATTGCATTATAAACTTTATATTTCAATTTTAAGGATATTTTATCGGGTCTGCATCAAATCTGAATAACGCTGTCCGCCATATTAGACACTGTCGTGACAACACCGATCCCGCCTAATGGTGTAAGTGTTCTGTGTCACTGATTAAGAGAACTAGCTAATGTGCTGTGTTATTTCGTAATTTTTCAAGTTATCATTACGATTATTGAGTTTTATTCTGAATTTTATTGAAAAGGCATCATGGAAGACAAATACGTAAAAGCAGAAAGTACTAATCTACCAAGGATAAATAAATTGATGATGGCAAAGTTTTTTGCATGCAATCCCAATTTTTGTTCCGCTGAGTTGAAGAATGTTAAAACGTCAATGTTAAATAAATACCTACTACCAACTTTTGTTTATACAAAAACACAATACCAGGTCAGAGTATATTTTGTTAAAACTTAGTGTAGTAGCTCAGTTTAGTTTATCTATAATTACAATCATTAGTAATAATATCTAATTTAACGTAATTTACTACAAAATTTGTCTTGCGATTCCCTTCACCTCATGATGTTTGGGTTTTGTATAAACGATAGTTAAATGTAAGTCATACATCAAAATGATCTTCACAGAAAAAGTTTAGTTTTGGTACACAATGTATTCGGGTATCTTCTTGCCGGTTTTAACCAGGTATTTCTTATATTTTAATAATTGGCACTTGAATCCATAACTTTCCCAGCGTTCTTATGCTCGTATATTTGTA